CATACATAAAAGAATGCATCATCCAACAATAAACCATACATGAAATGGGCTGTCATGCTGTACTCTTTCTTCAATTAAATGTTTAACCCGTAATGTTGCAATGGTGGCATGTGATATTGAGATGCATGTTTAAGGTTTTCATTTGTTATATTATTATTGCACATTTTTCAAGCGCGCCATATTCATGGAATGGATTTCAGAAATTAAGAGTCACAAACAACTTAGGAAATAACTTGAATTGTATTAATACTGCACATCCTTTCAAGCACATATTCATTTACAATATTATCACTACACTTCATATTTTCATTTGAAGTCTCACATTATTGTATCATGGAAATCAATGTGCATCTCTTTTAAACTATTTTTCACTAGTGAATTCATAGCCCCTTAGGCACCTAATTTATTTTTTATCATTGTTATTTAACTCAAACAATCAGGTGGACTAATCTCTTTTTAGTCTTGATTGGTCATCGGTTGTCATTCTCACTTATTTTGTTATCTCACGAAATGAGCTTATTATTTATTTTCTCCTTCCAACTTGCATCTTAAAAATTAGAGCACTGAATGTATTCATATTCATTAGAGTGAGGAGTAGCCATCCAAAATAATAGAAGGAGAGTGGCTCAACAATAAAAAGGCAATAATTTTTATAACATATTGCCATGGAGAGTAATTCAAAATCTTACAAGAATAAAAAGAATTTTTGTTATTGGATCAAACCAAACAATCATTAACTATGAAAAGCTCTTTCATGTGCATAATAATGCCATAATGTAGTTTTAACTAGTAAACAATGCTGTATCCTGTTAGCCATTTATATGAACTCCGTAACCATATTTCAAAATTTTTAAAATTTAAAATAAAAAATTTACTCTATATATCATAAAAATATGAATTATGGTTTCATGAAATGCCACCAAAATCACTCAAACCAAAAAAGGATATCATAGGTTGAACATCAACAAGGCAAAAAATCATAAGATCCAAAACTAAGAACGAAGAGAAAAAAATGAAGTGGTTTGCCAAGGGTTTCAAGCATGCGAGGAAGGTATTGAGCAGGCCAAAGTATTGAGCTAGCCAAATTGAGCAGCCGAGGGTTTCAACAAAGAGATAAGGAGATGCAAGGAGAGGATTAGTGCAAAAATGAGAAAAAAAAACTTACGAGGATAAAAGAGCAAGCACAAAGAGGAGCAAGCCGAAAGGGAGCTTAATAAGGATGATGAGATTGCTTAAATCTTGTAAATTATAGTTTCACAAAGGTTTGATAAATCCAAGTTTTCTTCCAGGATTTGATGAATCCAACTAAGCTTGGATTGATTTTGCTACCTCTTTATAGGTCGTTATAAACTTATTGGAAAGTTTTAATCCAAATCTTACATAAATCTCGCTTGAAAGGGGCAACCAAAGAACTCCTAAGGATTTACTAATATGTCAAGGGCCTATTTGGTTGTTGATTCCATGTTGGATTTATGGTGGTTTCAGCCTAAATTTTCCATTCTTCTTATAAAGGGTAATGCAAACCATAGATTTAACAAAATTCGATAAAATGTGGCTCAAATCCAAGATTCATGAGGTCCTAGTAAGGCTAAGATTCAAGAATTTGCCGGTCAAATAATTCTACCAACAAAATTTACTAATTCCTTGAATATAATTTATCATATTCGAGATTTATTAATCATATGTTCAAGCTTCAGCTAAACATGACCTGAATTATAGATCTTTTAAATATTTTAATATTTAGGTGAAACACTTAATAAATTAAATATCATGTCTGAGACAAAATGACTTAAGGGCTATGGAGAACCAATCTGCCCTCAAAAGGAGGGGGGTTTGTCGCTCCTTCCTTTGCCTTCTCTCCTCCTCCTCTCTTTCTTTTTTAGCACATTCCTAATATAAGTACTTACAAATCAGAATTTCTAAATTTTTTTATTCATCTTCCCTAAATCTGAATTTCCATTATAATCTCTTTCCTAAACTGAATTTCCAAATCAAAATTTCTTAATATTTTATTCCTCTTTCCCAAATCTGAATTTTCATTATAATTTATTTTCCTCTAATCTAAAATCTAATTTTAATCTTCTTCCTTATTTTAAAAGTATTTCCTAAAATCTGAAATCTGATTTTATTTTTCTTCTTATTTTAGTTTTTTCTGATTGTGTCAAGTCTCTTTATAAATAGGAATTGGTGTGTTTAGAATTATTAGTCTTATTTTTTATATATGAATTCAGGTTTTAGCCTTGGTATTTTTCTTCGAGGGTTGTATCTAATGTCGAGGTAGTACTCCGGCTGTCCCTCGTCCAAGGTTGTGACCGTCTTCAAGGGTCTTTGTGGTGCTCTGGATGTAGCTCGACCCCAACGAAGCATTTATCTTACCATATTTTCGTTTCCATATTGTCATTTCAGAATCAAGCCACTGCAGCCCCCTCTTCCACTACTGCCAGCCACTTTAGTGCTACCGTCCACTGTAGCTCCTCTAACTTGTTGTCCAGCCCTTTCAGCCCCTTCCCGGCAGCCGCCGACACCCCTACAGCATCTACCTTGTTTTCCCAGCCTTTCTCATTGCTACTAGTGCTTTTTCGCTCGTCGTCTACCCTCCGAAAGAGCTGGAGAACCTTCCCAGCTGTTGTCTTGCTTCTTCCACAGTAGCCCCCACCTCTCTAGCCGATCCAGCCTCCAACGAAGTTCCCGCTTCTCTCCAGCTATGGTTTGACGTCGTTGCTATCTCCAACCTGTTGTCTTACTTCCACAACAGCTTCCATCTCTCCGGCCTTCACCGCAGTCGCCAATCCAACCTCCCCTTGCCCGACTCCCTCCTCATCAAGTGCGTTGTTCCTTCTTTGTTGAGTCATTAGTTGTAATCCTTTGTTTTGTGCTTTTGTTTTGTGTGTTGTCTTTCGTTGTTTCGAGTCTTCATTGTAACATTGTTTTAAGTCAGTAGTAAAATTGTGTTTTGCGTCGTGGTTTAGATTAACTCCGATATCACAAAACCTTGTAATTTGACAAATGACGTTAATATCTTTTATTTGAAATTATATGTGATGAAATCTCATATAGATGTCCAAATATTTATGCTTATTTAACCTTTAAATTTAGATTAAAAACTTTGTCCAAACAAAATATTTTTATTTGAATAAGATGATTTATATTTGGACCAAAAACCTTAGATTTATAAAAATGGTCCGAAAAAGATTATTTCATCTTTGTTTAGAGCATTTATCAATGGTTGTTGATGTGATTTTTATTAGGCTTGGAAATGCAGTTTTGTTGGTTTTTAGTTATTAAATTTGAACCGATAATATTGTTTTAAACTGACTACACGGTATTCTTATTACTTTCTATACAAGACTATGTTATAAGGCACTTTTATTTTGGTTTCCATTTTTGTTGCAGGCTCAGAAATTGTGCCTTTGTGGATTTCAAGGATGAAGCTTTAGCATCTCAAGCACATTTACAACTTAATCGGTACTTCTTTTGAATTTGATCATTTCACTTTGATCGAACTTCCATTTTATTTCAAAAAACCTTGTAATTAGTTGCATGTAGTATAAAACAAGAACGTAACGTCATGCCACATTTTGATTTTCATTTTCTGGTATCTTTTTTTAAATGATTTATTGACTTAAAACCATTCTATATTTTCTGCTTAGTGTCTAGCCTAATCCAAAATGTTTGTTGACTATTTACGTATGTGCAGATTCTTCCAACAATTTTTTTTTATACACATATTGCCATATTTTTATAGATGGTAATTAATTTCTCACAATTTTTGCATGTAATATCTCAGATTGAGATTTCTAGGAAAAGTGCTGACAGTTGACAGAGCAGACAAAGCTACTTCAATTAACATAAACCCCCAATGTGCTGGGCTTTCTGTTAAGGATGCTTCTACTGCGTCCATAGTAAAAACTAAGGATGCTTCTGTTCACCCCAAGAGTTTGGAATCTGGTGGTGAGCCAATAGCTCCGAGACTTGGTGTTGATTACCCCTTTCCTCCACATCTTGAGTATGTTCTCAGATTGCTTTTGTCTGTGTGTGTGTGTGTGTATTTGTGTGTGCTGTGGGAGGGAATGGATGGGTGAATTTACATACATACCACACATTCATTGTGCATTCACATATCTGACACCTAAAACTTGATAATTACATTTATAACACTTAGGCATTAAAAATCTATGCGTGAAAATGTGTATTTGACTTTTAAAAAGTTAATGATAGTGGCATTTTTTATGTGGCGTCAATGATTTGAGTATTATGTATGTAAATATAAAAGTTTAGGTGTTAGATATGTAAATGTATAAGAACTGTGTTGTACGTATGCAAATGCCCCTTTTTTTCTAACAAGATTAATGTGTTCTTTGATGTCAATGGTTATCCTACTTTATTTCTATTTTTTCAACTTATTACTGTTCCATGTTAAGTTACTCATTTCTCCCCAAGATTGCAACGCTTTTTTATGGTCCGTCTTTTTTGTTTTATGAACATAAAACAAATAAATAGATGACTATATTATATTGGATATGCATGACAAGAAGCCCTGAACTATTTAATTTTAGTTCTTTTATAATAGAATTTCTTAGTGTTGTAATCTTTGCTGGAACGTTTTGAATTACCCTTTCTTAGAGAAATTGCTAGTATTGAATAAATGTGTTTGAGAGATTTACTAATATTCCCAGCATTGCTATGTCATGAACTTTCCAGCGGGGCTTGGACTTTTTAGGCTTTTTTTATTTGTTTTGTGCTGGTTTGGTCTTTTAAATGATCTTAATTTATTAGAACTAAATGAAAATATGACACTAAATAGGACGCAGTGGAGAAAAAGGATTCATGTAGCCGACCCCACGTAGTGGGATTAAGGCTTTGTTGTTGTTGTTGTTGTTGTTGTTATGCTTTTAATAAAAGAATCGTAACTGCAATGCTTTGGAAATGTTTCATCACCATGGGCGAAAATTCAAAGAATTCCTAAAGATTTGATGTAATCTTTGCCATCCACATGTTTGTGATAGGATTAAATAATTGTGCTGCGTTATCAGTGTAATTTTATTAGCATGCTTTCTTTTTTCTCTTTTGCAACCCCTCGAGCCTGTGCGCTCTCCACAACATTTTTGAAACCGTGGACTATCTCTTTTCACCATTACCTTGAAGATATTACTGTCAATGGTTTAATTCTCTTTTTGCACAGCGTACACTACTTAAAGGAGCTTTTTTATCTTTTTTTCATTGACTTTTTTTATGGATGGTGATGAGTTTGAGCCAAATTTACCTAGTAATTTCAATTTTACCTTTGCTAAGAACAGTCCTTCCATGTAGAGTTGCTGCTCAAAAGGCGATTAAGTTGTGAGCATGAGTTCTATTCTCAAGGGTGTCTTGAGTTTGTTGGCGGGTGCTAGAGCCCTGGGTGGAGTTGAGGTTGATGTGTGGCTCATTAGCGATTAGTTTTAGAGTTAGCGTGTGCGCATGGGTGGCAGATGTTGGGCAACACATCTGCAAGAGTGGGCAATGTTTTTGTCGATGTGTGAGGTCCACCTCTAAGGTTATGTTTGAGTTACCTTACTAGGAATCTAGTGTCCTAGGGTTGGCTTACCCTTCTCTTTTTTTTTTGCCTTATGATAATGGTTAAGGACTATCTGGTGGAAAACCCAACAACCAAAAGGATGATGTTGGGAAGGCTTACACGGGAGGATAGTGGGGAGGAGAAAAATAATTGTATCTTCTATGGAAACGACTGTAGTATTTAAAACTCCATGTGGCTTCCCTCAATAGTAAATTCAGAGGCATCGGTTTGGAAGCTAACTGGTGTTGGTAGCATGTGAAAATGCAGGAAGTGTCTGCTTGCGCTTAAATGCAAGCATTAGGTGGTTTTGGAGCCGAGTGAAAAGAAATTCAGAGTTAGAACACCCAGTTGAAGAAAAAAATAGCTAGTGGCTCTCATAGAGAGTGAAAGAGATGACAGTGGTGAGATATGATCATGGCTTCGAAGGTGATGACAAGGGTGGTCAATGGACATGAGAGAGGATGGAGAGGAGCAAGGTGTCTTTCTCGCAAGCACCGTATTGTGACAATGCTAATAAGGATTTATGAGCCAAGGATGTTGTTGGACATTTACCATCTTCTATTATTAGTATTTTCTATTTTCAATATTGTCTAGTATTGGTATGTGATTATTCTTATTTCCTTCTTTTATTATGGAGTTATCGTTGATATTATTTTTTTTCTAATAGGAGAGCCATCTTCCTTTATATAACTGTTAATCATTTCTCTATGAAATGGAAGCGGAATAAGAATTTTTTCCCTCCTAAAAATGACATAGCATCAGAGCCTTAATAGGTTAGCTCTGGGATTCATTCGTTTTTCAGCTCAGGTTCGTTCCAGCTTCCTCGACGTCATCATCCTCTTCTTGCAACATACTGGATTGGTTCGAGGCGCATTCCGGCTTCTTCATGTCTTCTCCTGCTACAAACGACACTATCTGCATCATCTGCTTCCTTCGGCTTCCTTTGCGACAACTGTGTCAAACCTTTTAGAACGCGTCTATGCCTCTTCGTTTGCGACGTCAATTTCATGACCTCTCGCTATACAATTCGATTAAAGCTTTGTTGGGAAAGCAATGACTAAATCACGCCACTCAAAGGAACGATAGCAACATCCAGAGGAAGGCATCAATCAACGACGAGATCATTTGTTACAAACATGCGCAGGGAAGTGAACGGATCTCGATTAAAAATAACGATTGAGATTGTGGCGTAAAGGAGTTTTGTGTCGCTCGAGTAGGAAAGTGAACCGATCGCAGCATACTGGAGTTTCAGGCCGTTCTTGATCGTGGCATAATGGAGTTTCGTGCAGTTCTTGATTGATTTTTTATATACTGAGGTTGATGTACAAATCAACAATAATGACTGGAGTTTAAAGAAATTCTACCACATTGATCAGTTTCAATAATTCTGAAACCATCATACCTCACCTGACAACCCCCTAATGGGTATTTCGGCTGAATATTTTCCTTGGAATTTGCCACCTTACCTCAAAATTATAAAACTTAATGAACACAATTATCTTGAGTGGACAAAATCTATAAAATTCCGCATCATGAGAGGTTGATCGAGAGAGGTAGGCAATTGTGCCTTGATTTTCATGCATTTGAGGATGGAAAGGTGATACTTGATAGAGCAGCTTTCAGGATTTGGTCTTTTTATATTGCATAGAAGGGAAAATGATTTGGAGAGGGCAATGTTGACGTCAGGGTGAGCGAGAATCAAGGGCTTGGATTTGATTGAGGGTAATATTAGAGAGATGGTGATAATGATAGTTGACAAATTATTGAATGTATAAAGTGCTAGAAAGGCAGGTTTAGAAAGATTTAGTTTTCTCTACCAAATGATGTGCGTAGTAAATGCTTTATACGGAAGAAGTCAGTGGGTCAATGGAGGAGCTAATATGTTGAAGGGTTGACAATGGTTGAAGGAGGTTGTTGGTTTGGAGGTTGACAATAGCAAGGCGAGTGTGTAACAGCCAATCATGTCTTGTGCTGACAGGTAATATGCATGTAAACTAGTTAGGAAATGACAAGATAGGTCTTTAAATGGTTAGAAAGTTGAAACATGCTAGTAGATCGGGTGGTTTTGCTTGGTCGGATAGGTTCGCAATCTGTTCACCATAGTGGGGTAAATTGTTGGAGGGAGAAGACTTATGTTTTGGAATATTAGAATTCATGGATCATTGGAAGAACTTATAATGGATCAAATTGACCTTTCAGAAAGGAGGTCAATGATATTATTTGAGGTGTTAAATTTTTTCTAAACAAACCAATTTGAACTGCTTTATTCATGATATCTTAGGTCCGCTCTTCTCTTTTAGAAGTAATGAAACTAATTTTATCGTTCATCTATCGAGTGTTTTTTATACTTCATTGTGCATGTTCAAAACACTTAAATTTATTTTCAATTTATTTTTTTTTAGTAGATGCAATTCAACTATTCTTGTAATTAATCATTGTTTAATTTATCCCTTTTAATTTTGTCACATGTATCTTATTATTCTTATTTCTAACTGCATTTAGTTTAGAGATCTACACCTCTTAATACAGCATGGAAATATTTTGATCAGGTCTGCTAATTAATCAATTCATGCACATTATGTTTGTTTAATAACTTAAAAAATTTTAAGGAGAAAAGGATCAAAATAACCCTATGACTGTTTTTGAAGGTGTCATTTTAGTCATGGATCATATAAATATTTGATGTAGTCTTTAGAATCTTAAAATAGGAGTCAAAATAGTTTCGCTCTTAAAATAACTAGAGTTGAAATTAAAGTCAGTGGGTGATGTTTAAAATGTTGTTGTTGCGAGATCTAAATATACCAGTTGATGTGGTATATATATAAATCAAACAGGAGAACGATCGACAAAATGAAAAATAGAACGAGAAAAATCATACCAAAAAAGAACAACAAAATAGAACACACAGATTTACGTGGTTCGACAAATTGCCTACGTCCACGGAGTTGCGGAGGATTTTACTACTCGAGGAATTTACACCAGTCGATCACCTCGACTTACAAGAGGAATCTCTCGCTCTTCGTTGCTCTCTCTCTTCTTCTCTCTCTGTTCTTCTCCCTCTATACCGAGTTACACCGAAAAAAATTCTACACCGAGATACACCGAATAAGACAAAATTACAAAAGAAATAAACACAATTTTTTTTCTGCCACAAGCCACCAAGAAAAAGTCTAGGGAGAGCAATCTTCTTCTTCCTTCTTCTGCCGCAAGGAACTGCTCCTCCGTGCACTTCTCTTCCTCTGCCCTGAGGAATCCTTCCTCTATCCCGAGGAAACCGAAGAACTCAAAGCGTGACTACAAAACCTAAGGAGAGTCATCCGAAATTTTTATCACAAACAGGAGGGAGCGAAGAGATGCTTCACTTCACAAAAGGGGAAGGCGGGAGTGGTTATTTGTGAAGATGTGTGACTCTCCAAAGCAAAGTAACCGCCCAAGTATAGTGGACCGAGCTTCACCACTTCTAACAATTCTCCCACTTGGAGACCGGTACACAGGCTGCAACATATTCTTCCTCAAACTGATATCCTCCACTGATAATGTCGCCTTTTTTTTCAACATGTATCCTCCACCATGAATCTTTCACCTCTGCAACTCAAATGCTCTATCTTCACTCCATAAGACCAACTGTGAAGCTGTGCATAACTTAAATTTCTCAAGAGTAACACCCTCAGTTAACATATCAGCAGACTCTATGTAGCGTTGCACCTCCAAGCTATTTCCTGGGTCACTTTTGTCTCTTCTTACAACTCTCACTGCATAGGCAACATCCTGTCTCTATTGAAAGCCTTTTTCAACAAGTCTAGTATTGTACCTCTTACTGACATCACGTTCAGTCTTCACCTGATACACCCACTTATTGTGCAATGTCTTCTTCCCTGGTGGAAGTTCTACCAACCCCCACTTGCTTGAACTTTCATCTTGCAAATTTTTTCATAGCTCTGTGGTTCTTCAACATCTGTCTGTGGAACAATAGGAATGGGTGCCCCGGACCCACTTTTCTCTTCACTTTCATCACTGCCCTGCACTGTGGTTTCTGGTAGATTTTCCGCCTTTGATAGATTTCCTACCATATTCAAAGCCCCTGAATTCAATATCAAGTCTTCAACAGAACTATGAACTGTCAACAATAGTGCATCTTGTGATCCTTCAGATACCACATTTGCGCTATCATTTTCTATTTTCTTAGGATTTCTGCAGTTTTTCTTTATGTGGTCAGCCTTGTCACAATTCCAACAGGTTGTCTGCTTACTAAACTTTGATTTTGATCTCCCTATACTTGAGTTACTGTCATGACGTCTAACTCTGAAATCAACATTCAGTGCCGAACTCGAAATTGAGATATCGCCAGAATTTTTCCTGTGAACTTCCTCAGCCAAAATCAAATCATGAATATCATCATATTTCAATTTAGATTTACCTGCAGAACTACTAACTGCTATTCTCATGGTTTCCCGACTATCTGACAATGAAGCCAACAAGATCAGTGCACATATCTCATCATCAAAATCAATTTCCACAGACAACAATTGATTTGTGATAATATTGAAAACATTCAGGTGTTGAGCAACAAAAACACATTCCGTCATTTTCAAATTGAATAACTTCTTCATCAAATGCACATTGTTATTCGTCGATGGCTTTTCATACATACCTGATAAGGCTGTCATGAGATCCGTAGTCGTTCTTTCCTTGACGACGATGTGTGCAACGGACCTCGATAGGGTCAATCGAATAAACCCCAGAACTTGTCGATCCAACAAATTCCATTCAGCCTTATCCATCCTTTCACGTCATTTCCCCAATAACGGAAGATAAAGTTTCTTTCCATAAAGATAATCATATATCTGCATTCTCCGATAACCAAAATCTGTATCATCAAATTTCTCGATCCATGAAGCCTTCACTTCATCTGCAGCCATCATTTTTTCTCAGATCCGAACAAAGCTCTGATACCAGTTGTTGTTGCGCTTGTGAGATCTATAGATATACCAGTTGATGTAGTATATGTATAAATCAAACAAGGAGAACGATCGACGAAGTAAAAAATAGAACGATAAAAATCACACCAGAAAAGAACAAAACAGCGGAACACACAAATTTACGTGTTTCGGCAAATTGCCTACGTCCACGGAGTTGCAGAGGATTTTACTATTTGAATAATTTACACCAGTAGATTACCTCGACTTACAAGAGGAATCTCTCGCTCTTCGTTGTTCTCTCTCTTGTTCTCTCTTTGTTCTTTTCTCTCTATACCGAGATACACCGAAGAAAACTCTACACCGAGATACAACGAAGAAGACAAACTTACAAGAGAAATAAACCCAGTTTTTCTTCTACTACAAGCCACCAATAAAAAGTCTTAGCAAGAACAATCTTTTTCTTCCTTCTGCCACAAGGAACTGCTCCTCCTTGCACTTCTCTTCCTCTGCCCCGAGGAAACCTTCCTTTATCCCGAGGAAATCGAAGAACTCAAAGCGTGACTACAAAACCCAAGAAGAGTCATCCAAAGCTTTTATCACGAACATGAGGGAGCGAAGAGATGCTTCACTTCATAAAAGAGGATGACAGGAGTGGTTATTTGTGAAGAGGTGTCGCTCGTTAACTTAGCGAACGAGCCGAACAGAAGCTTTTTAACAAGCCAAACATTATATGTTCACGAACAACGAGCTGTTTCCAAAGCAAAGTAACCGCCCAAGCATAGTGGACCAGGCTCCGCCGTTTCTAACTTAAAAATGAGTCTATTTTAAGAATTTATGTATTAAAAAATATATATAATCTAGTCATTGACTTTTTTTCTAAAGTTTGTGATATATTGAGAAATTTTATTGATAAAAATTACTTATCTTTTATATAATCTGGGATATTGAGAATATTCAGGGTTCAGTAAAAATTACTAAATTTAATATGTATTAGTTTCATTACATAGCATCTGAAATTGATGCAATGCCAATTGGTTTTTTGAGTAGAAAATTAAATATTTTGGAAAGACGAAAATTCCTAAAATAATAATAAGCAGATAAAAATTCCTAAAATGAATTGTTACTTTTAATGGCAGGATCCTTTTTGCTCCTGTTTTAAAAGTGCTAAGCTTTAATCGTATCTTTAATGTTATTTTGAACTAAAATGGTCTTTACTACTGTTTGCATGTTATTCAATGAAAAATGTTTGCTCAGCGAGCCGAACACGAGTCGTTCACGAGCATTCATTACATAGCACACAATTCTTATGTATTTATGTATCTCGTACCTAAATTTTCGTATTTACACACACATGACTCAAATCTTTAATATCACGTCAAAAATAGCGCTATTGCTAGTGTTATGTATGTATGAAATTTTAGATGTGAGATGCAAATACATAAAATTCATGTGTTACACACGTTAATTTCCCAAACTAAAATCCAATCGCACGTTTCCATTTTGATGCATTTCTTTATTGGGGCATGAATACATAAATACCACCTAATTCTTATGTATTTATAAATCTAACGCCTAAACTTTACTTCTTACATTCTGACCACCCAACTCTTTCATTTCACATAAAAAAATACCATATTTTAACTTTTAAAAAGTGAAATACACCTTTTCATGCATAGATAGGGTGGCATATATTGAAGTGTAGGTGTTAGATGTGTTAATACATAAACATTGAGTGGTATTTATCTCAAATTTCTTTTGTTTTATTTGGTTGATAGTCTCTCTCCTTCTCTTATATAGGTATGCATATCCCCCACCAGACGGAAATATACTGACAAATATTGTGAATGCCCTTATTGCTGTCCCTAATTTTTATACGCAGGTTTGGAATATTTCAACCAAAATAGAAATTTATTTATCTCTTACATAATGTAAGAAACTTTTCTCCTTTGCAGGTTCTGCACTTAATGAACAAAATGAATCTACCTGCTCCGTTTCGCATGGCACTGCCTACGCCACCCTTACCCCCTCCAATTCCTGCTCCACCTCCTCCACCACCTCCATCATCCCCGAAGTCTCAATTGGCTGATGTGTCAAGTAGTGAATCTGAATTGGAATCATCAGAGGTATTTTCTCATCGTCTTGATACACATTTTGCTTATTTTTTTGAAAAATTGACATGCATACCACTCAATTCTTATGTATTTGAGTATCTAACACCTAAACTTCAATAGTTACATGCGTGCCACTTTACGTATGCATGAAAATGTGTATTTTACTTTTTAAAAGTTAAAATTGGTGGTATTTCTTATGTGATATGAAAAATTTTAGTGGTATAAATGTAAAAGGCAAAAGTTAGGTGTTTGATGTGTAAAAATATAAGAATTGGTTGGTATTTATGTAAATGCCCCTTATTTCTTACATGATATTTTTCTATGTTTTTGTTAGGAGGACACCGGCAATCTTCGTGCTCGTAAACGAGCTAAAAGAGAGGCCATTGTTGGTCCTGCAGTTGATAAAGATGTAGAACATGAAACCGTTGGACTCAAACTTGCTGCATTGGTTCCCAAAGAGGTTCCAGTTATAAAGAAGAAAAATCCAGTGCTACAGGTTCTCACTATAATCAATACAATACCTTACTTCTACACATTTTTAAAGGTTTGAAGTGCCAAAATAGCCCCTTAGACTATTTACATTAGGGTGGTTTAGTTCCAAAGTTTACGAAGGTTTCAAATCAGTCACTTTTGTACTATGGAACTTGAATGATCCCCCTGCAAAGAGTCAAAGGGCTATTCTGTAATTTTCTCATTTTTAAGCATTTTCTTGTAAATTTTCTTATTTATTCTTTATTTTTCTGCAGATTAAGTTCAATACCAAGCCAATAAATAAGGATATGGATGAAGATGATGGTAAGATCAGTGATCCTGCAGTGCCCACCAATTCAGGAAAGTTTTACTTAACACCCGAGGAAATAAGCAGAGGGAAGATGCCCCCGGAGGAAATACTATCTCTTCCTATGTTCAAGGCATGCAAAGTTTTTTAAATTTCTTGAAGCTACATAGAAAATCAATGAAAATTTCTGCCAACATATTTTTATTTAGGCTAACTTTTCTACATGTGGATGCCTTCCACTGGCTATAAATTTAAATAACTGGTATCATTATCTTTGTTCTAAATTATGTAGAACTATGCCACTGGGAATCCTGCGACTGTTCTTTACATCAAGAACTTGGCGAAAGATGTGGTGGTGGATGATTTCTATTTCATATTTGGTATGATTTTATTTCTTAGAAGAGCACTTTATTGAACACAAAGTCTATAAAAGTGTCAAATTAATCCGTAGATTCTCTTAATATCAGCTAAAATAACCTTTATGAATGAACAATTTTATCCCTCTTTAAAATAGCCCGAGAACTAAATTTGCAATTTTTATACACTCAGACTAAAATGGACCCTACCAAGAGACAAATGACTATTTTGACACTTTTTTCACAATTTTAAATAATTCTAGTTATTTTTATACACTCAGACTAAAATGGACCCTACCAACAGACAAATGACTATTTTGACACTTTTTTCACAATTTTAAATAATTCTAGTTCTATTATCATTTCAGCACATTTTGTTGAGCATACGTGCATTTATTTTTTTTCATAATATTTGAAATTTTGCTTGCAGGTTCACTTTTTGAAAGTGTTGAGAATGCCAAGTCTAATCTAAACATCAAGCTTATGCAGGTCTGATTTTACATTGATCTTAGCCAGTTTATTTCAATTTGCTATTAATTTAACAGGAGATAATACTATGAATATCTTTAATACAAAGCAGAGAAGTCAGCACTCAAATGCCATAGCATGCCAATAAGGAAAAAAGAATGGGATAATTACATACATAGCCCTCAAAACATTGATATTTACAAAACTATTGAGCCTATGCATTTAACATGCCACAAACCATTGGGAACTTGATAAAAATGAAAAATATGGGTTGGTATTCTGTTGTGAATTTTGAAATTTGTGAGAATTTGAAATGGATAAAAGATGATGCTAGTTTTTGTAAAGAGTAATGTTTTGAATGCTATGCCACCAAATTATGTTGCTCGGCCCACAAATCTAATTCCTAGTATATATTTAACAACTGCCTTTATGTTTCGGGTGCTTAAACTTGGGTGCTTAATTAGTAAATATCAATGTTTAGGGTGATCTATACGTAATTTGTCCCAGTCAAACCAAATAGAAGAGGTACCTTTTGGGTACAGGCATCGCTGCGCAGTGGCCAATCCTTGCATACCCCACAACTGCGGGCCCTAACCTATTTCTATGAAATACATTTGTGCTCAATTGCCATTTGTGTACAACAATTGCCAAACAATCGACCAACATCTGTGCTCAATTGCCTCTTTTAGTACTTCGATTGCCATTTGTGTTCATCCACAATGGCAAAGAGCATAAACACAAGCTCATTCATTCCAAACAATCACGATATAGCACATAGAATTGTCATTGACCTGATTTAAACTAGGTTGATCGATTAGCAAGCAATCTATATGTGGGGTCTATGAAATAGTCAATCTAGTCTTTATATTGATATTTTGATTTGATTTTAGTTTAATTTATTATATTTGGGTGGTTTAAGTTCATCATGTCTCATTCACATGTTTTGAAGTTTAGATTTTAATTTATATTTCCATTTATATAAGGCTACGAAGAGTGTTATAAATAGTGGGTCATGCCCGATTGAGGGCCCTATTATTCAGAACTCCCTAGTTCTAGTAAGGTGGGGGCACCATACTTGAGGGTGCACATTTTCTGTTCGGACACCTGACGTGCCTTTACGTGCGGCGCAAGTTATTCCTGAGTTATTTTCAGATTATTTCTGGGTTATTTTCAATACCGAAATAATCTAGAAATAACCCAAAAATAAAGACCGCAGATTATTTTTGGGTTATTTCGGGATTATTGAAAATAACTCAGAAATAACCTGAAAATAACTCATGAATACCCTGCGCTGCACGTAGAGCTACGTCAGGAGTCCGCACAGAAAAATTTTTGTACTTGAGGAGTCTCTCACCCCACCCTAAGGATTTAAATAATTTTAATCGCTCTTTTAACAGCATTAGAAGTAATTTATCTCATTGGAAGCTTTTGAGTTACACAGTCTATATGAATTCCTAATAGAAGAGGTACCTTTTGGGATGGGTTCTAATTTTGTTATCGACGAGTTTGTTCCTATTACGTTGCCTTTATGAATTTATTTTTGTCATAAGTGCTGTAAATTTGTGTTTGTAGGTGTTCATTTTAAAATTGCTAGTATCATAAATTTTTATTTATTCTTTTGCGAATTAACATTTATGATATCAAAATTTATTTGGCTATAAGATGAACATAAATATTATGTTATGCAACATGAATCCAAATCTCATACAACAAAAAGTCTCTCTAAGAACAATGTTGAGGGGCACAAACATAAATATAAGATAATAATGTGATAGAATTAGAATAATAGACTGAGAAATGATTCTATTAGAGGTGAAATTGTGTACTTTGAAGATAATATAATGTTAATAAACTATTGTTTAGATTTGCCAAAAATATTTCAAACTATACACCCAATTAATATGCGAGGATTTGGAAGCTGAAGAGAAACATATGTGATAACATTGTCAAACGTGCACACAGTCTCCCATAAAAGAGTTGATGATGATCATATGAGAAATTAAGACAAATTATCTGTTGTTTTAAAATTATGCCGCAAATTACATACAGGGTACCCAAAACGTTGCTATTTACAAATCAAGCACCTATCCATTTTTCAAACTCTCACTCAACTATGAAAGGTCATGATAAAACCCCAAGCCATATTTTTCATTTTTATCAAATTCACAACGGTTTGATCGTGGCAACACGTAAATGTATTGGTTTGGTAGTTCAAAAAATCACTTGGGTGCTTGATTCGTAAATAACAGTATTTCTTATGCTCTGTATGTAATTATCCCAAGAATTTAAGTGATTTGTAATGAAAATAGTTATAATAACAAGTCACAATGAACCTGTTCCACTTTTGTCATTTCAAATTACTGGCTTTCATTTTTCAGGAGGGTCGAATGAGGGGTCAAGCTTTTGTGACATTTCCAACCATAGATCTCGCCCATCGAGCCTTGGTATGCATGTTTTCATGTTGAATGAACTCATAATAAGCATTTCTATTTCTTTTATCTAAATTTTATGCATTTTTTTATTAAGGAAGATTGTAGATTTGCATGCATACCATTCAATTCTTATGTATTTACATCCATATCTAACATCTAATTTTTAATTTTTACATATTTATACTATGCATGAAAAAGTTTATTTCACTTTTTAAAACTTAAGATAGTGGTATTTTTATGTGGTGTGAAAGATTTGAGTGTTAAAAATGTGAAAGCGAAATATATGGAAATACATAGAATATAGTTGATATATATGTAAATGCCACGGTACTTGACATAAATGGTTCATACTGTATAAGAACAAAGTGAGTTGCAAACTGTTCATATTTAGGAAGATTTACATACATACCACTTAATTCCTATGTATTTACATATCTAACACTTTCAACAATTTTATTTTATTTTTGGTTTTACATCCTTGCAGAATTTAGTGAATGGATATTTGTTCAAAGGAAAACCAATTATTATCCAATTCGGCCGCAGCCCTTCTGTCAAAACAAGCTGAGATTGAATTATATTTGCAAATTTTGTCATCTTACATTGATTATTCAATTGGGTGTTATTATTGTGTCACGGGTAACCTGTTCGAGTTTGTTAGTTCAAAAACATTACTTGAATGCTAGTTTTGTAAATATATAAATTTGGAGTGATATGTGTATAACCATCCCTTTAGCCTTACCATTGTAAACATATAAATTTTTCTTCTAATAAATTAAAATGTTTTCTTAATAGCTTTCAAATTGATTGGTTCTGAAACTCATGCAGGCATGAGGAAGAATCAGTGCTTATTCAATAAAAAAGGTAGATTTACATAGGTACAGCCTAGTTCTTGTGAAATTTAATACAAAACACTCAAAATTTTAGTATTGTTTGCATAGCACCTGATTCTTCTCAATTATTGCATCTATCGTCCTCATCATCATCTTTCATCTACTTTCTGGAGACATTCCGGCGAGCTCACAAGGTAATGATTGTATAAAATGATCTCTGAAACTCCCATCTTCCTCATCTTTCATCCGCTTCGCTATAAACCCTGTTTTTGCTCCCATCTTTCTTCTTTGATGACATTCCGACAAATATGTATTTGAATATCTAACACCTAAACTTCAATAGTTACATGCGTGCCACTTTACGTATGCATGAAAATGTGTATTTTACTTTTTAAAAGTTAAAATTGGTGGTATTTTTTATGTGATATGAAAGATTTTAGTGGTATAAATGTAAAAGGCAAAAGTTAGGTGTTTGATGTGTAAAAATATAAGAATTGGTTGGTATTTATGTAAATGCCCCTTATTTCTTACATGATATTTTTCTATGTTTTTGTTAGGAGGACACCGGCAATCTTCGTGCTCGTAAACGAGCTAAAAGAGAGGCCATTGTTGGTCCTGCAGTTGATAAAGATGTAGAACATGAAACCGTTGGACTCAAACTTGCTGCATTGGTTCCCAAAGAGGTTCCAGTTATAAAGAAGAAAAATCCAGTGCTACAGGTTCTCACTATAATCAATACAATACCTTACTTCTACACATTTTTAAAGGTTTGAAGTGCCAAAATAGCCCCTTAGACTATTTACATTAGGGTGGTTTAGTTCCAAAGTTTACGAAGGTTTCAAATCAGTCACTTTTGTACTATGGAACTTGAATGATCCCCCTGCAAAGAGTCAAAGGGCTATTCTGTAATTTTCTCATTTTTAAGCATTTTCTTGTAAATTTTCTTATTTATTCTTTATTTTTCTGCAGATTAAGTTCAATACCAAGCCAATAAATAAGGATATGGATGAAGATGATGGTAAGATCAGTGATCCTGCAGTGCCCACCAATTCAGGAAAGTTTTACTTAACACCCGAGGAAATAAGCAGAGGGAAGATGCCCCCGGAGGAAATACTATCTCTTCCTATGTTCAAGGCATGCAAAGTTTTTTAAATTTCTTGAAGCTACATAGAAAATCAATGAAAATTTCTGCCAACATATTTTTATTTAGGCTAACTTTTCTACATGTGGATGCCTTCCACTGGCTATAAATTTAAATAACTGGTATCATTATCTTTGTTCTAAATTATGTAGAACTATGCCACTGGGAATCCTGCGACTGTTCTTTACATCAAGAACTTGGCGAAAGATGTGGTGGTGGATGATTTCTATTTCATATTTGGTATGATTTTATTTCTTAGAAGAGCACTTTATTGAACACAAAGTCTATAAAAGTGTCAAATTAATCCGTAGATTCTCTTAATATCAGCTAAAATAACCTTTATGAATGAACAATTTTATCCCTCTTTAAAATAGCCCGAGAACTAAATTTGCAATTTTTATACACTCAGACTAAAATGGACCCTACCAACAGACAAATGACTATTTTGACACTTTTTTCACAAACTATTATCATTTCAGCACATTTTGTTGAGCATACGTGCATTTATTTTTTTTCATAATATTTGAAATTTTGCTTGCAGGTTCACTTTTTGAAAGTGTTGAGAATGCCAAGTCTAATCTAAACATCAAGCTTATGCAGGTCTGATTTTACATTGATCTTAGCCAGTTTATTTCAATTTGCTATTAATTTAACAGGAGATAATACTATGAATATCTTTAATACAAAGCAGAGAAGTCAGCACTCAAATGCCATAGCATGCCAATAAGGAAAAAAGAATGGGATAATTACATACATAGCCCTCAAAACATTGATATTTACAAAACTATTGAGCCTATGCATTTAACATGCCACAAACCATTGGGAACTTGATAAAAATGAAAAATATGGGTTGGTATTCTGTTGTGAATTTTGAAATTTGTGAGAATTTGAAATGGATAAAAGATGATGCTAGTTTTTGTAAAGAGTAATGTTTTGACTGCTATGCCACCAAATTATGTTGCTCGGCCCACAAATCTAATTCCTAGTATATATTTAACAACTGCCTTTATGTTTCGGGTGCTTAAACTTGGGTGCTTAATTAGTAAATATCAATGTTTAGGGTGATCTATACGTAATTTGTCCCAGTCAAACCAAATAGAAGAGGTACCTTTTGGGTACAGGCATCGCTGCGCAGTGGCCAATCCTTGCATACCCCACAACTGCGGGCCCTAACCTATTTCTATGAAATACATTTGTGCTCAATTGCCATTTGTGTACAACAATTGCCAAACAATCGACCAACATCTGTGCTCAATTGCCTCTTTTAGTACTTCGATTGCCATTTGTGTTCATCCACAATGGCAAAGAGCATAAACACAAGCTCATTCATTCCAAACAATCACGATATAGCACATAGAATTGTCATTGACCTGATTTAAACTAGGTTGATCGATTAGCAAGCAATCTATATGTGGGGTCTATGAAATAGTCAATCTAGTCTTTATATTGATATTTTGATTTGATTTTAGTTTAATTTATTATATTTGGGTGGTTTAAGTTCATCATGTCTCATTCACATGTTTTGAAGTTTAGATTTTAATTTATATTTCCATTTATATAAGGCTACGAAGAGTGTTATAAATAGTGGGTCATGCCCGATTGAGGGCCCTATTATTCAGAACTCCCTAGTTCTAGTAAGGTGGGGGCACCATACTTGAGGGTGCACATTTTCTGTTCGGACACCTGACGTGCCTTTACGTGCGGCGCAAGTTATTCCTGAGTTATTTTCAGATTATTTCTGGGTTATTTTCAATACCGAAATAATCTAGAAATAACCCAAAAATAAAGACCGCAGATTATTTTTGGGTTATTTCGGGATTATTGAAAATAACTCAGAAATAACCTGAAAATAACTCATGAATACCCTGCGCTGCACGTAGAGCTACGTCAGGAGTCCGCACAGAAAAATTTTTGTACTTGAGGAGTCTCTCACCCCACCCTAAGGATTTAAATAATTTTAATCGCTCTTTTAACAGCATTAGAAGTAATTTATCTCATTGGAAGCTTTTGAGTTACACAGTCTATATGAATTCCTAATAGAAGAGGTACCTTTTGGGATGGGTTCTAATTTTGTTATCGACGAGTTTGTTCCTATTACGTTGCCTTTATGAATTTATTTTTGTCATAAGTGCTGTAAATTTGTGTTTGTAGGTGTTCATTTTAAAATTGCTAGTATCATAAATTTTTATTTATTCTTTTGCGAATTAACATTTATGATATCAAAATTTATTTGGCTATAAGATGAACATAAATATTATGTTATGCAACATGAATCCAAATCTCATACAACAAAAAGTCTCTCTAAGAACAATGTTGAGGGGCACAAACATAAATATAAGATAATAATGTGATAGAATTAGAATAATAGACTGAGAAATGATTCTATTAGAGGTGAAATTGTGTACTTTGAAGATAATATAATGTTAATAAACTATTGTTTAGATTTGCCAAAAATATTTCAAACTATACACCCAATTAATATGCGAGGATTTGGAAGCTGAAGAGAAACATATGTGATAACATTGTCAAACGTGCACACAGTCTCCCATAAAAGAGTTGATGATGATCATATGAGAAATTAAGACAAATTATCTGTTGTTTTAAAATTATGCCGCAAATTACATACAGGGTACCCAAAACGTTGCTATTTACAAATCAAGCACCTATCCATTTTTCAAACTCTCACTCAACTATGAAAGGTCATGATAAAACCCCAAGCCATATTTTTCATTTTTATCAAATTCACAACGGTTTGATCGTGGCAACACGTAAATGTATTGGTTTGGTAGTTCAAAAAATCACTTGGGTGCTTGATTCGTAAATAACAGTATTTCTTATGCTCTGTATGTAATTATCCCAAGAATTTAAGTGATTTGTAATGAAAATAGTTATAATAACAAGTCACAATGAACCTGTTCCACTTTTGTCATTTCAAATTACTGGCTTTCATTTTTCAGGAGGGTCGAATGAGGGGTCAAGCTTTTGTGACATTTCCAACCATAGATCTCGCCCATCGAGCCTTGGTATGCATGTTTTCATGTTGAATGAACTCATAATAAGCATTTCTATTTCTTTTATCTAAATTTTATGCATTTTTTTATTAAGGAAGATTGTAGATTTGCATGCATACCATTCAATTCTTATGTATTTACATCCATATCTAACATCTAATTTTTAATTTTTACATATTTATACTATGCATGAAAAAGTTTATTTCACTTTTTAAAACTTAAGATAGTGGTATTTTTATGTGGTGTGAAAGATTTGAGTGTTAAAAATGTGAAAGCGAAATATATGGAAATACATAGAATATAGATGATATATATGTAAATGCCACGGTACTTGACATAAATGGTTCATACTGTATAAGAACAAAGTGAGTTGCAAACTGTTCATATTTAGGAAGATTTACATACATACCACTTAATTCCTATGTATTTACATATCTAACACTTTCAACAATTTTATTTTATTTTTGGTTTTACATCCTTGCAGAATTTAGTGAATGGATATTTGTTCAAAGGAAAACCAATTATTATCCAATTCGGCCGCAGCCCTTCTGTCAAAACAAGCTGAGATTGAATTATATTTGCAAATTGTGTCATCTTACATTGATTATTCAATTGGGTGTTATTATTGTGTCACGGGTAACCTGTTCGAGTTTGTTAGTTCAAAAACATTACTTGAATGCTAGTTTTGTAAATATATAAATTTGGAGTGATATGTGTATAACCATCCCTTTAGCCTTACCATTGTAAACATATAAATTTTTCTTCTAATAAATTAAAATGTTTTCTTAATAGCTTTCAAATTGATTGGTTCTGAAACTCATGCAGGCATGAGGAAGAATCAGTGCTTATTCAATAAAAAAGGTAGATTTACATAGGTACAGCCTAGTTCTTGTGAAATTTAATACAAAACACTTGCATGACAGCCTAGTTCTTGTGAAATTTAATACAAAACACTCAAAATTTTAGTATTGTTTGCATAGCACCTGATTCTTCTCAATTATTGCATCTATCGTCCTCATCATCATCTTTCATCTACTTTCTGGAGACATTCCGGCGAGCTCACAAGGTAATGATTGTATAAAATGATCTCTGAAACTCTCATCTTTCTCATCTTTCATCCGCTTCGCTATAAAACTTGTTTTTGCTCCCATCTTTCTTCGACAACATTCCGACGAACTTGTAAGGCAATGACGGAATGAAAATTGCAGGGAAAGAGTAACGACGGTCGACAGAAGAAAACAATGGTGTTAGATAAGATAGTTGGGAAAGATTTTATGTTCATGAATGTTAATATTTAATGTGTTTAATATGAAATTTAACAACATTTGGGTGGCATATATATGTATGTATAATCCCCATAATAAAAATGATAATGATGGTATAATAACAATATTTAAAAAACATTGATTTATTTTTCTTACCAATCATTTCACATAAACTTTATATTGATCTAAATTATTATTTTACCATCACTTACGTGTTATTCTTAATGACATTATGAGAGAGAGTAATAAAGCAAAGACTCGGGAAAATCAAATTGAAGTTAGAAAGTATTTTATTTTCATTTGATTCAAATAAAAAAAATAAAAAAAATAAAAAAAAAAAACTGCGGCAATTTTAATACCATGACATAAAATATATGGAAAAAAAAGTAAAAAACTGGGCTGTAAACAACAAACTTCATAATTACAGAATCATTAGCCAACATTGTCATCATCTTATGTATTTACACATCTAACAACAATATCATTCTTATCACACAAAAAATGACACAGACATTATATTACCTTCTAAAATAACATAGATATGTAAACTTAAAGGGTTGGATATGTCAATAACACAGTATTGTGGGGGTAATACATGTCAAAATATAAGTTGCTGGAAGCCTGCCTGCATATAACATACAACAGAAATATAATAGCAATTTGCACATCAAAAACATTAGAAAAAAAAGGAAAAAAAGAAATCCAACATTCGTTTCTAATATATCTGTGGGTGATAATAACACAGCCTTAAGAAGCACAAAAACTTAAGATTCTGGAGCAGCCTCAAATCTTGTTGGGGTATCAATTCCGGTCATGCAACAAAGCCCTGATATCAATATTATAAGCAGCACAATCCCCTGAAATCACAAAATCATGCACAAATTTCAGAATATAAAAAAGTAAATTTACATACATAACACACAATTCTTATTTATTTACATAAATAACAGCCAAATTTTGGTATTTATATACCTATAGCACCTTGGTGCTTTAACCTGTGCATGGAAAAAGTGCATTTCACTTTCAAAAATATAGTGATGTGATGTTAAATATTTGAATGATATGGTATGCATGTAAATATGAATATTTAGGTGTTATATATTTAAAATACATAAGAATTGTGTGGCATGTATGGAAATGCCCTTAGTTTATTTCTCTTTTAGGAGGCCATGTAGCTCGTATAAAATAGAAACCAACCTGCGTATTGTAATACTATAATTTCACATGAAAAAGAATAAGATTTACATACCACTTCACTCATATGTATTTACATATCTAATAACTAAACTTCAATTTTTACATATACTCCACCTTACCTTACATGAAAAAGATACATTTCACTTTTTAAAAGTTAAAATACTGGTATTTTTTAAATGATATGAAAGATTTGGGTGGTAGGAATATAAAATGCAAAGTTTAGGTGTTAGATATGCAAATGCATAGGAATTGGGTGATATGCATGTAAATGCCCAAAATAATAATTGATAATGATTTAAATGGGGAAACGGTGATTAAGAAACAAAAGTACCTTTTTTATACCTACCACGCTTTCAATAAAAAAGATTGTTAAAAACTAGTCATCATATAACTTTCTTTGAAGCAACCAAAAACATTCGGAAGATTGCATACAAATACCACTCAATTCTTATGTATTTATATATCTGACAACTAAACTTCAATTTTTACATACATACTGCCTTACCTATGCATGAAAATGTGTATTTCCCTTATTAAAAAATTAAATGGTGGTAATTTTGATGAGATATCAATGATTTGAGTGTTATAAATGTAAAAAAAGTGAAGTTCAGGTGTTGGATATATAAATCCATAAGAATTGGGTTGTATGTATGTAAATGCCCCACAACATTAAAGCTGAAAATAATATGGCGATACTTGAGAAATCAAAACAATGAAAAAGCTGCTCCCATATGTGATAACAAGCTATTCAAGCATTTGACATGTTGCTACTAAATCATAACCACATTTCAAAATAAGCATGAAAGGAGCAACTACTTGAATAATATACAATTTTTACATATATAAAAATTAATATATTTATTTTTTGTTATTCTAAAAAAAAATCAAAACCTTTAAGCATCATCATACAAAAAAAAAAGTAACTTACAACAAATAAGCCCTCCAAAAGAGACGATTTTAGTTGGCAGACCCCATCACAACGCGTAGAATTGGAGGAAGAATTGGACTCGGAAAGAAACCTCATTGTCGAGAGTGACGGGTATGGATATGACCTATATGGATCAGAAGCATAAAGGATTGTGTATGTCGAACCAGACTTCTCCAACAAATCAACGATTTCAGATAAAACCTGTCCTGTAGAATAAAAAAAATTCTCAAGTTAAAAACAATGAGCATCTACATACTTGTACCCAATTCTTATGTTTCATGTGATAATAAAGAATCGGGTGGTATAAATCTAAACAGATGAGTTTAAGTGTTACATAATGTAGCATATATGTAAAAATTGAAGTTTAGATGTTAGATAGGTAATACAGAAGAACTGAATGGTATGCATGTAAATCTTGCTAAAAACAATCATAGGAAGTTATTGGAAGAATAGTAGCGATTTTGACAGTATACAGCACCTTCTGATTCAGTATGGATTGATTCTTCAGAGCTTTCTCCACAGAAAACAATCAGATCAGTCAACTCGGTCACCCCAGATTCCATCTTTCCACTTATGAAATCCTGCAATTTTACAAATGAATGAAAATTTTATTTTTCTTTCCGTCGCTAAAACTTATCATTACACTGAGTTTAAAGAAATTAAGACCACAGATGATACAATTTCACCTGAAGCGAACGCAGCCCTTCTAGTTTTTTAAAGTTTTGACCTTTGAGAGAACAGGATTCCATATAAGCAATATTTTTCACTCCGAAATCATGCCCACAACTGTCAATGAATCCTGAGATTAAAGAATTTTCAATTGTATCCTTTTCATTTGATACGGCTATATATGGAAACGCCATAGAAACGTTTGAGCTCTTGAATGATTGCTGATCAAGAAAAAAAAAAATTAATAAAAAATTTCAACTTTATCCAGAAAGCACAAGGGACAAAGGTAAAGGTCTGAAGTATAATTATTACCTTTAAAAGGCCGATCAGAGTAGGATCCTCATGTTTGCTTCTAGAGATGTCTGATGATTGTAACTACAATATAAAAAGGAAGATTTACATTCATGCCATTCAGCTCCTATGAACTTACATATCTAACACCAAAACTTCAATTTTTACATACATACCACCTTACCTATGCATGAGAAAGGTGTTTTTAAAATTTGAAAAGTAAAAAGGGTGGTGTTCTTGATGTGATATGAAAGATTTGGGTGGTATTAATGTAAAAAAGCAAAGTACAAGTGTTAGATATGTAAATACATAGAAATTGGGTGATATGTTTGTAAAAGCCAAATATAAAAATTATGCAACTCCTTCAGGCTAAACAGGGCTAACACTTTCATGATATGAACTTAAATAACTCAGCAAAACAGAAAAATAATGGGTGAACTTTTGATAGCTAAACAAGTGAATTCTTGATACCATCCACTATTTCAAAGAGGCACTTGTCAGTAGAGTCTTAATTTAATAAGCTTTTTCCTCTATTTTTGTTTCAAGTTTAATTGCTATAAAATACAGCGCTGAAATAAACTGATATTGTTTATAAAAATACATAAATATTTTAAATAAGTAATATAAATGCAAAAAAAATAATCTATAAAAAAGTTGACAGTGTCACAGTAAAACAAAAAAAATGTTCAATTAGTAGCTTAGCAATATAGATGAGAGACAAACAATCGTATAGCTCACTTCTACTCTTCCTTTACATTTATATATATCAGCTGCTTTAAATGTTCAAGCCAATAAGGAATGTTGCTAAGTGTCAGTCAGGTTAACCTTTTCTCTTCTTTTAGTGAAAACCAACCTTACAAGCATGCACTCTAAGGACAAAGAAAACAACCAGTTTTTACAAGAAATTATAATAAATACTCTCAACCTTTCATTAAAAGAAAATTACAAAAACATGTTTCTCATGTTTTGGACTAGTAAAGGATGCCTGAGTCCATACAAACAAAATTAGAAGTGTAGCAAATCTTCCTGACCGGAATTATAATCCCAAAAAGAACTTAGAAGGCATGTCCTCATCCATCATGTTTTAGATCTCCAAAATTGAGGATCTCAACTCCTCAATGTAGTTTTGTATTATCTCAGTATGTATAAGATGAGAAAAGGCATAACAATAAGATAAAAGACAAATTATTTGAAAGGAATTTCTTTCAAATTTCTTCTTACAGCACCTCTCATGCAATAATGGGTCCCTCTATAGTAACATCAAAAATATGATTCGCTACCAATGTGTTGCATCACCGACAAAGTGCATGCTTCTAATGATCACCCTATCCCCATTGGCAACATAAGTAACCCAAAAAAAAAAAAATGCTCTGATCCCCACAATACATATTCACAGATCGTACATTCTTCCATCTGCCAATGGATTTTGGCTAAGGAACTTTTACATTATTTGGGCCCCGATAAGTTGTGTTGGTTGTGTGATATGCCTCGGCACCAAAATCAGCAACAAACCACAACAAAACGATAATAAAAAGGTGGAAGAAACACAAACAGGGGCTTCTCATACAAAAATCAAAAGAAAACAAGCAAAATACAAGGTTGATCTACTATTTGAGAGGTAGATCGTTTCTCCCACGCCCTAGACATCACTATGAACACCATTAGAACAAAGAAAACAGCAACCACAACAACCACAACAAAATATGCATGAAGAATAAAACAAACCCTAGGTTACTCCCCTTAGTAGAATCCTCTTACAGCATTTCAAAAACTTTACTTTCGAACTTTTCCTCCAAACTCTCTTAATTTCTCCTCATTGAGTATGTGATTAATCCCCTCGTGGACCCCACCTGCGTCCAGCTTTCCTCCGCTGCAGCAAATTGCCATTCGGTTGTTCCACGTGAAAGGAATCGGCCTTGGCTACTTTGCGTGAAAGGAATCGGCCCGCTTACTTTCGCTGTGAGCTAGTTTGATGGCCTTCGACAGATCTTGGATGGACCAATCCATCCCAGGCGTAACAATACTCCTCTGATCGGTTCTGACCGAAAAATATCGTCCCAGAGCTGCTATTATTTCTCATTCATATACTGACTTGAGTCTCGCTCTTGCCATAAGAACCTAACTGAAGTAGGCAATCGACCACTAATCTCGCATGAGCACAACTCCCAATCCATACCCTGACGCATCTGTTTCCACCACAAATGGTTTACTAAAATCTAAAAGTGCTAATACTACTACGTTATTCATGACCTTCCTCAGATGTTTAAATGTATGTGTTATTGCTTCCCCCTATTTGAAATTGTCTGTTTCCACCACAAATGGTTTACTAAACTCTAGAAGTGCTAATACTGCTACGCTAGTCATGGTCCTTTTCAGATGTTTAAATGTCTGTGTTGTTGTTTTCCCCTATTTGAAATTGTATTTCTTCAACTGCTCCGTCAATAGTCATGCTATCGTGTCATATTCTCTCATGAACTTTCGGTACTAACTTGTGCGTCCCAACAATCCTCTCATTTCCTTCAAATTCTTTAGTACGGGCCAATCAACCATAGTCTCGATCTTGGACTGATCCAGTGCTACCCTCATTCTAGTCACCACAAGTCCTATGTACTCCATCTATAACTGTGCAAAGGAACATTTCTTCAAGTTAGCACACAATTGGTGCTCCCTCAACGTATTTAGGACTGTCCTTAGATGTCCCACATGCTCTCTCTGCACAACTGTAGATCAGAATATCATTAAAGAAAATCAAGACAAATTTCCAAAGATATGGTTGGAAACCGTATAAATGAGGGATTGAAATGTCATTAGGGTGTTGGTGAGAGCAAACGGCATCACTAAGAACTCATAATATCATTCACGTGCCCTTAATGATGCCTTGTGCCATCTGTTGGATTCATCATGATCTGGTGGTACCCAAACTTAAGATCAATTTTTGAGAACATAACTACCTCATAAAGCTCATCCAATAACTCATCAATCACAGGAATAGGAAAATTGTTCAACAACGTTTCCTTGTTCAAAGCCCGATAGTCCACGCAGAATCTCCAACTATCTTCTTTTCTCTCACCAACAGGACGGCACTGGAAAAAGGGATCACATTAGGCCTGATAATCCCACCCTTAAGCATCTCTCAGATCAGTTTCTCTGTCTCATCATTCTGAATTTGAGGTACCTATATGGTCTAACACTGATGGGGAAAACACCCCGCTTCAATATAATAGTGTGTTTGTGCTCCTTCGAAGGAGGTAACCCGATTAGCGGCTGGAAAACATCCGTAAACTGCTGTAGGAGTTGTTAGACCCCTTTCGGAAACTCTATCAACTCTGAATCTCAAATCTCGTCAACGTTCTGCAACACCAAGTAACACGGTACTACTCCGCGAATCAATTTGACCATGGTTTTGAGGGACACCATGGTTTTGCATAAGCTAGACCCTCTCAGCAACACCTTCCTACCCTCCATATTTCTACCGTCCACTTGGAACCCCATCATTAAGGACTTCCAATCCACCTTCATATCTCCCAATGTTCGCAGTCACTTCATCCCCAAAATCAAATTTGTTCTGTCCAAATCGTAAAGAAGTCTTTCATCACCTATATGTCATGTAGTGTCAGAATCAACCCCTTGCAAATTTCTCGATCCATCCCCTCACCTTCATGGTGTAATTCAAGGTAAATCTCACCACCAAATTGAAGGACACCTCTGACACATCTAAATGCAGATGCTCCTCCACCGCTTCCTCTTCTGATTCCTCACTTTTTGTATCTTCCTCCTGAACTAAAAGAACATAAAAGGCGCGCTCCTAACAACGGTGTCCTATGACGTATTTCTCATCACAGCGGTAACACAATCATTTTGCTCTTTTATCTTGCACTTCTACATCTATGAGGCGCTTGAAACTACCCCCCAGACGGGATCCTATATTCTTCTCCTTCGACGCGTCTCTTTCTGAAATGACACCGCCTGGGTCCTCAGTGTCGTGGTTGTCAAAGTGCCCGTATAGAATCCTCCAGCATTGTCGCCTTTACTGTCCTTCTTCACTTGTTTCTTATCCTCTCTATCATCTAGGCGAGTTCCATCAGTTCCCTCAACCCTCGCGGTTTCAAGAGGCGGATGACTACTCGTATGTCGGGCTTTAGGCCCTTCAAGAGGTTCCCTTCCTTCCTCCATCGTGCTCTTTCATGCTCCTTACACCATCCCTCTAATTTTTGGCCCATCCCCCTCCATCGGAAATCTCCACTCGTCCTCCTTTTCGAGTCCTAGAGGGACGCTCTTGTAGGTAGATGATGTCTTCTTCATTATCTTCTCACTTGATCTTCTTCCCTTTTAACCTGGGTAAGGATTTCTGATCACCTCTTGGTTAGGATTTGCAACTGTAGCGGTCGGCATGGCCTTGGATTGTATCTCCATGAGTTTTTTCATCATCACCCGCATTTATCCTATGCTCTCGAACCCATCCTCCATTTGACTTTCAATGGAAAAAAATCCGTCCTCCATGGTGGCGAACATTTCTTCAATTCTCGATCTGATTTGCCCTACCTCTCCTTATAGCACATCCACTTTCTTTGTTGTCATCTTGTCAATATCTGGGCTCTTATATCAATTTGATCCACCTCGACACCAAACTCAATGAACAAACCATAATGAAACGGTAATAAAAAGGTGGAAGAAACACAAATAGGGGCTGCTCTTACAAAATTCAAAGGAAAAAAAAGCAAGATGCAAGATTGATCTACTATTCGAGAGGTATAACGTCTCTACCACACCCTAGACGTCGCTAGCACCACAAGAAAAAAGAAAACAACAGCCACAACAAAATATGAATGAATCAAACAAACCCTAGATTAACTCTCTTAATTTCTCCTCATTGAGTATGTGATGAAGCCCCTCATGGACCCCGCCTGCGCTTGGTTTTCCCCTGCTGCGGCAAAGTGCCGCCCGGATGCTTCGCGTGATAGGAATCGGCCCGCTTCCTTCTGCTGCGGGCCGATTTGATGGCCTCGACCGGCCTAGTTCGACCGGCCTAGTTGGAGCCGTAACATTTTGCCAATACCTGCAACAAGAAACAAATTTCCATTACTTCTCCCCACCTAAGAGGGAGAAGCTCCTACCAAAGTCTCCAAGCGAGAAACTCTGTTTTGAACTAGTTTTTGGCCCGCTGTTGAGTTCTACCTTGTCTTCGGCATCTTTTTTCTTTTTGAACTTTAGCCCTAAAAACCACTCTAAACTTGTACCTTTCAACAATTCCACCTAGCATTCACGTTAAGGACATACGATAAGTAATTTCAACAATTCCACCTAGCATTCACGTTAAGGACAAAAAAAACAGGCAGGCTATACGATAAGTACTACTCTTAAATTTTTTATTCACCTTGAGTTAGAAGGAAATGGAACTCAAAAGCAAAATTTGCAAATTACACCAACTATTTGATACTTAATTAGTACTTACTAGGGGTGTATACTAGACTAAATCAGATGGATTAGTTGACGGATTAATTGAAGAAAGCGGTTTTGTTAAAAAATCTAGAAATTTGAACCGGCCAAAGTTTAAATAGAACTAAACTAAATTGAGCAGAACTTTGGTTTAGCCAACGTGGTTTAGTTTTACATAAACCAAAACTCGGCACACCTCAATCCTTATATTAATCATGCAATTTATATGACAAATGCTTCTAGATCATTGCAGGAAAAAAGCTTAAAAACCAATAAAAAAAAGAAAGAGAAACAAATCATACACAATAAATAAAATTTGTGAATAAAAACATTAATTACAATGAAAATTGCAACTATTAAATATCAAATATTAATTGTGATATTATCAATGCTAGAAAAGTCATATGTGCTCTAGAATTTTGGAAAATTTCACGAACTCTTCTACAACATCAAAAACAATAAAAGACACTAAAATATTAATTACAAAGGCTTCATATTATAAGTATAATTTACTAGGCATAACTCTTATTTTGCTTAGAAATTTGGACAAAAGAATTGAAAGGCAGTTCCAAACTTAGTACTCATGTGCATCTCTCTTTTTGAAGAACAAATGATATGTGATAACTATTAATTTGTTTAAAACATGAATAAATCCTGTGTATAACTTCCATTTATTATCTATAACAGAGTCGAAAAGCCAATAAAATCGTGTCTTGATTTTATCACATTTATAAGATGAAAACTAATACAACAACCGAAAATCAATAAATCCACATTTCCAACCAATAACTGTATTATTTTTTACAAAAGAAAACCAAACCAACCAAGAAAGATTCATTCAATTTGAGTTTTTTTAGTTTTAACCAGATAATGCCCGACATTAATAATCACCCACCACACTTAGCACATCTTTACAATAACCAACGATTTTATTAGAGTTTTTCAATAATGCTGAAGATTATTTGCTAACTTAAATATAGAAACACACTAACCAAATATTTTTCAAATTACGAGTTGGGTGCATGCATATACGTAGAAGAATAGATAAGTAGATAGATGCATTGATGGATAAATAGCACCACGCTACAAAAGAAAAACTTATATTGAAAAAAATGCAAAGTACACAAGAAGAAACAAACTTACAACACTTCGACAAAAATATTATACATTTGAATTACTTACCTCTTTCCCAACAAAAACAAGAGCTACATCAAAATTTTGATGATGGTTCTCCCCAGGACACTAGAAAGAAAAGCAACGTGAAATAGATAAATGATCGCCTTTGAAATGCATACTACAAAATAATGAAAACATAAAAATTGTAAACTAAACAGCAGATGGAGAAACAGGCCTAAATCTTTTAGGGGAGGTGGTTACCATGAAACTTGACCAGCCACCTTCAGACAGAACAAATTTAGCTAAGTTATTTGGTGAGATGGTTTGGTAATTCACAGTCTCCTTAGCACTATCTTGAGATGGTCTGCACCGAAAAATCAGTCTCCTTAGCACTATCTTGAGATGGTCTGCACCCAAAAATTAAAAAAAAAAACATTATATTTACCTTAATTCAGTCTCCCTGTAAGTTACAAAATCAAGGAAGAAAAAAAGAGAGAACGAATATCTGATGACAAAAGAAGACTCGGAGAATCAAGAAAGAGAATTATATGAACTTCTCTAATATGATGTTTCCGTTAAATCATTATGTTAGTTTGATTAATAGGCAGGCAATTATATTGTCATTTTTGGCAAAACACAATATGGCCCTGATTTTTGCAAAAATCATTAAGTTCGTATGCTTAAGACTAATCATCTCACCAAAGAAACCTTCATTGAAGTGTTTAAAGAAGCTTTATTTAAATCGTTACCGGTAAAATTAAAGGCAGTTTTGTAGCAAAAATATAAGGTATGAGTGATTTAACAGAGAGTTTGGATGGAAACATTAAGGATATTTAGGGACAACAAAGGTAAGAAGTTTAAGGTGTAATGGTTAAGGGTCTATAGTTTACAAATACAACATAGAATGAGATACAAACAAAAACACAAAAATCACACTCCATAGATTACCACCTTTTTAACTTTAGCTAAAACAAGAAGAATTTAATGTGAAATTAGCAATCGCATCTCCAAGTGATAATACAATAATTTACATGATCTGAAATCTTACAAGGAAAAATAGCAAACAAAAATAAAACTTTAGCAACAATCAAAATTCAAACTTAAAAAAAGTTTGAGATGTATTACACTAAATAGAACTTCAATAATAGAGTACAGAATTCACAAAACAATAATAGAAATCACCCAATATAAGATCAAAGCTCACGCCAACACAAGGAAACTCACCCTGAAAGTAATCATCGGTGATTGCAAAATGCTCAAAGAAAAAACATTTAAATAGCACACATACCATCTACGAAGGAAAACTAGAAATTTATTTCAATTCCGAGTGATTTTTACATGCCTCGGTGGTCCAATATATCTCCCACAAAAAGACAAAAGCAAATGATTCCTAAGCTACCATTAAAGATGTTGGTAAACAAAATTTCATGTAGCGAAGTTATAAAGACATATAGTTACACTCATAACAAAATAAGGTGATGATCAAATATACAAATTGTATCCCACAATTATACTATTTACAAAAAAATGCCAAGGGAAGAGGCAACAAGAGCAAGCTTGGTACTTGAATCTAATATGATGGAAGCTCAATATATTAGTGTCGGTCAACTTTTTGGTTTTGAAAATATTGAAAATAATTTTAAAATTTAATTTAAATATAAGTATATATTTTTTATTTTAAAAGTAGTGTGTTTTAATTTTTGAAAAATGAGACCAAAAGATTGTACCATGTATGTTTCAAGGTTTATGTTTTGTTGTCATTATGGGGAGTTAAAGTTGATTAGAGCGATACCGGTTAGAATCTCACGGTTCACTCGTTCCAGTATTACTATTTTCATTTGAATTTTCTTAGTCTAAATGAGTTGTGAAACTCATTTAAACTGGGGAGATCTAGTTAACAATTGTGGGTTAATTCCTCCGAGGGACTCCCGTAAATTCAAAAGGACGTGTTTAATTTTGAAAAATATTACTCCGAGGGACTCCCGTAAATTCAAAAGAACGTGTTTAAATTTGAAAAATATTATTTAATTTTGAAAAATCTTTTTGTTTTGAAAATGAAATTGTATTCAGTATCTGCATAATGTGTTAGAGCATAAGTAAATTGTAATGATAAAACAACAACAAATAAAATATACCTGTGTACATGACGTATCTGTTGTAATCTTCCCTGTTGCACGTTTAACTTTGCATGTTTAACTCACAAAACATAATATAATTTGCAGGAAATTTAAATAATTTGCAGAGAAAAGAAGAAAACAGTAAGCAGTAGAACAATTCATAGCAAAAATTAGGAACTCCAAACAGATGATCCTAAAGTTTTTTACAACTCTTGGCTACAACTAGCAAGCTAGTACGGTGATCTTACGACCTCTTATGGCTCCGAGAAGCAGGTAGCAAATGTGGACGGGGGTCCCAAGACTCCCGACC